ATATCAATTATTTCATATATTACTGTTTCGCAGATTCCTTGGAAGGCGATTTTGACATCTGGCCCCACCTTGGTGTTTTGCATTCGGACGTTTTGTAGTATGGTATTCGGTACAATCTTCTCAACGTATACGCCAATTTTCCTCGACCATATGTACAACATAGACCTCACAGTGGTAAACGATTTTCCTTCGTTGGCATTGTGAAACTTCTCCCGTGTGGGTATTCCACTAGTTAGCCACTTCGCTATGCTTTACGCATGAATTGATCTTGAAGACCTTTACCCTGCTTATTCATGATTGTTTCATTATATTTAGTGGTATATCTTATTACCCAAACCAATACAAGCAATAATACTTGTGTGCATTTATTGTTTCTTATCATATTAGATATGTAGATAATGTGAAATAGCGGTATTTTTTGCTACCTTTGCGTTTATTTCAATTATTTGTGTTACATTTTATATAAGTACACATTTTACTTGTAGAATGGATGGATCAACGGTATATCGAACATGTTGTCGGCTATCGTTGCACTCATTTGTTCGATTGTGGCTGATCGCCTCCTTCAAAGCGGTTACTCAATTAACAAAGTACGGAAGACATTTTCAACTTTATGTAAGTTTTGCTTCATTAATACAAAGTAAAATTCTATGCGTAAGGTAGCTTAAAGGCGACGCTAATTTTTCCGTGGAATCAATACGCGAAGCGTATTCAGCAGTGTTTAGTACCTCGTACGATTTGATTTTACTACCCTCGACGAGCTATGGCAGTACAATTTTCATATGGTAGCGTTGGAAAAAATCACCTCGTATATCCAAGCTCAAATACGGCGTTTCTAATATAAGTACAAGCTAATGCATTGTACGAGTTCATATATGGCTCTTTGTATCTCATGTTTGTTTCTCTTAATTTTCCCCGACTCTTTTGACCTATAATCTGGAACACCTACGGCAGCGCTGATGCTTCCCGCTTCTATTATGCTTCTCCTAGCTCAGTTGGAAGCCGATGTCCGCTTAGTGGCAGGTCTAATCATTTTTGCTAGTACTCTCTGGGGTCTGTATGGAGGCAGTGACCCTGCCCTGCCAATTGATCTCACGGCGGAGTTCTCAGGGGCTGTGAGCGCCGTAGTAAACACTTATGCCAATCTCGCTGCTGTTTTGACTCCAATCATCGTCGGGTGGTTCCTCGCAGACCAGGTTCGTGCTAACTAATATACTTATTTAAGTCTCGCAGATATTTGTGTACTATTCAGAGTCCACATATTTATGATTATCGCAACGTGCGTAAACTAGTCGAGTCAGCGGGTGGTAAGGGGACAATTTTTTGTCTTTCTTACATGATTGATAAACCAAAAGTTTAATTGACTGCGGTACATAACCCATTTTTTAGGAGAACTTTTTCCGTTGGAACGTGATTTTCGAAACAGGAGCCTTCACTGCGATGCTGGGTGCCGGCATCTTCCTCGTGTTAGGCTCAGCTTCAAGACAGAACTGGCCCACCTCTTCAGAGGATGAAGCAGCGCCTTTGCTCGTTGATCCATTGTAGAAATTTGGTAAGGCGTATTTTTTAACGCGTTTACTATTACGGATGCAGCTGTGATAGCGAAATTGATGTTTTACAGTAAACAGCATAAAATGTTCTGCTTATTGAAAACTTCTTCTTACGGTAATTCCCTTGAGTAGTTATGTCGTATCTGTATCCGGCGCTCGAGGCAGAAACGATGTTCTTACCATTGTGCCAACTGAAGGTTGCTGATCATCGCGAAGAATCCTTTTGTTACTTACTTTGTTACTTGTGTACTTACTGTGGTTTAGCATAAAAAAAATTCGAAATCAGCATGCGCCGGAATTTTACCAGCCAGTACAGAACTCAAGGGTAACAGCATTTTTATTTATAGTTATTATTAAAAAAAATATTAAAAGAAAAAACTAAATAGTTGACCGATACAAGTTAATGAAGTGAATTATAAGATTTTGAAACATTCCAGTAGCTTGTTAGTTCTAATAACAAGGTAGATTAGGGTTCTATATTAGGTTAACATAGAAGCTCTTGTTTCGTCAAAAATATTCATATATTATGTCAATATAATACGCGACTAAGAATTATTATTATTATAGCGCAATGATCCTAATGTATTGTTTAATTTTGGCTTAAATAGTTATTAGATCCGCCATTTCTTACCGCCATAAATTAGATATAATCACTAATATATAATAAATGAGTATAGTGCATGTCAGATCGCTAAAATTAATTAGTGCATGGCTTTTATACATGACGGCGCCAATCTTAGCCCGATTCATTTTTTGCACCTCCCACCAATCATGAAACTAGATAGGTTTGATGACAGTACATTCGGGTATTAGCATTCGCTGATCAGCTGTTTGCCTCTTGTATACACATGTATTGTACAAAAGTATTATTTTCTGATAGACAAATACATTGATAATGAGGGAAACTTTATTCAACAGTTATATTTTATAGAACGAGCCTAGTGAAACCTATTGGTACTTGGTCAACGGATGTAATAATTTCCTACATTGTAATCATTTGCTAAATGCGAATTAGAAAAAGAAAATTATACACTCAAATGAACCGAATGTACATCCACATTTACTAGACTTAGATCCCGTCAGATGGTATTAATACTCACAATATACCTTTTCAGTTGGAGTAAGATTTTCATTCACCGCATCGCATTGCGCACAATCAAACATTATACATTCTAAATGTCCGAAGATGTTATAACAAACGGCTAAATAGTTAAAATTATGGACTACTACTATTGTTATTATAATGTGATATAACATTAATAGAGATATATATACAACCACTCAACCGAAGAATTGTTTCACTGGAGTGTCATTCCTATTTACTTATTAAGGGAAATATGTCTACAGTTTATTTGCTATTACTAGTTTATGTATATGAAGCGAGGTCAGTAGATTCAATATGCCTAACACGATACTTTTGGGAAAACGAGGGTTAATCAAAACTAAGTTTATACTTAATAGTTTAAAAGGCTTTGTTGAGAATAGGCTCGGAAGTATCTTTAGCATCTACTAAGATTCTATTCAATTTAATAGGTGTTCACGTATTAACAAAAATAACCATGTGATGCATGGAACTATGACACAAAATGCATACATGTAAATACGTAGGGAAAGAAGGGTTCATATTATTATCATGTGAGCACCTGACTGAAATGAAAACAAATCTTTACAGCAACGAAACAAACGATTTACAGCGATTCAATGTCATGAAAATAAGACTGCTGTCATTTATAAGAAAAAAAGAGAAGAGAAATAAACACTGCTAATGAATTAGGGCGAACGAACAGCTGCGGCTTTTCTTTAGAGTTGCATCTGTCTAATAAAAGGCCTCATTCAACCGGTTATTAGTCAATTTGCCCGACTATCACAAGAAGCCTCTACTCCCATTAACGTAAAATACAGGTATTTCTTGTTATACATTATGCTAAGAATCTCAGCTATTACATATCGTTAATCTTTAGTCAGTGCCATATATGGCATTGACTTCGAACATTCTATCACCAGTAACAATCAAAGTAAATCGTTCTCACCCAAACAAGGTAATCGAATTATTCTTATTTAGTCAGCATCTGTTTTTCTTTCAAAAACCAACTTTCAACATTCATGTAAAAGAATTGATACCGTAACCTGGTTATAAGGTTCCCAAGCTAACAACTTTATTCAAACCGTTCACGGGTTTGAATAAAGCTTTATGCATACGAGTCCGCAGAATATACTAAATGATTACCATTCTTGTGAAATTTCTGATTGTCAAAACATTTTTCTCACATTACTGAGTGTATCTAGCTGAACAGTGCACAGCCAGTTTGTTCCAGCCTTCTGTAATGTATGTTAGTATTCACATAGTGCTGATTTACTTAGGCCACCATTGCGAGTTGTGAGAGAAGTGTTGCAATCGGACTTCTTCCCTAAACAACTGCATCGTCATAAGCTAGCTCAATACAAATAACCAAAGCAGCTAACAAAGAAATTCAAACTTTCGAACATCACTTGCCATTACTGTTTGTCTAGTCCAAGCCTACTAATTCGACGGGGTAGGATATCGCTGCGCGAAACAACGCAAAGCAATTTAGTAATCGTTACATGGCGATTATGGTTAGGGTACCGCAATGCTCGATACATGCAACACAGCTTTGCCCTGTTTTCCCACTATGGACGGCGTTGCTGGACGTTGAGCTGTATGGGTCCCGTTCGTTCCTTAGCAAGACTGCTGATGTGTGAGCGCATAGTTCTTTTTGGCAACCCACCCGATGGATTTCTTGTAGTTCGTCCGCTTTTGAAGAACACCTCAGTAGTTCCTCCGTCTACAGCAGTCGTCAGCCATTTTCGAAACTTCATGTTGCTGTATTAGATACGACCCAAGTTCCACGGCGCTTAACGACTTGATCTTTCGAGCTAATCAAAGATCGATTAGTGCTTATACATGTTCACAGCAATCACTACGTATCGGTGCCGAGCCATTTCTCAACTCGGCAAACTCACAATGCTGAAGCAGAAGTAATGGGTCTGTGTTGCAGTGAGTGTAGTTCTGGCTGGCGAAAGAGATAGGTGTGCCACCGTGACAAGAAATGATGGAGAGGATAAAGAGATATTTCGAATCCTAATTGAAATTTGGGAGAATTTTCGAGATTTAATGGTATTGACAGCTTAATGGGTATTGACAATTTGCATTTACATTGTTTTGAACAACTCGAGCATGGAAGGAGCTCAACAACCGATTACGAAATCGGTTTCTTTTTACCAGTGGCGAGCAAACTCTAAGAAATTCTGAATGCCTTTACCGTCATTTACAATCGTGTTTCTATTGTGTTATTAACATACTGTGTAATGTGTTTGGCTGTTTGTTCCCATTATAACGCTAGTAAGGTACCAAGCGTCGGCGTGTTTTGTTTCTTCTATCCGTTCTTGGTGTTACTTTAGTGCGATTTGAAATCCTAAAGCTGTTTCCTGCGTCTCACAAAGGACGCTGATAGGCACACCGGAAATGCGCAAATGAGCGTCACAATTCCACTGTTAAAGCAATACTTACAAGGATCCTAGCCCAGACATGAATAGAAAATTTTTATTCGAAGGCAGCTAAACTTAATGAGGCGCAACGAGCAAGATAGGCGTGACGTACACCATGCCGCGGACATTTATGTGGGGACCGTTAATATGAATGCTGATTGCGGGCTAACCTACTGTGTAAACCGAAGATTTAGCATTTGTGAAACAAGCTCAAGGAACAGCTCTTTCTATTAGAAAGTGCATAGGAGGTTCCGCTAAGCTTAAAGGCTAGGTTGAGGAGCATTTGAAAAGTGGAACTATTATTATAATTATTTGAAAAAGAATAGCACTAGGTCTCACTCATTAACAAAATGCTCAACACGAGTTGGCGTCTAAATACAACAGATCTTCCTGTTCCATTCATTAACTGAACAATTAAGACAGTAAGGCCATCACCTCTAGGGGAACGGTTGTTATCCTCGAAGCTTTACAATAAGCCTTTGACACTTTTTGGCAAAAGAAGGCCATACAATTATTCCCCCGAAAATGAGCAGCTATTGATATGAGTTGAATGGTCAGCATCTAAACGGCGATTTCTCAGGGAAAATGCCCACTCCACTGTCTCTAATTTTTTCGTTATCAGCAATTTGTCTTGATTATTCAGACAATAAGTGTTTCGAAGATCAATCGTGACAACGCTACCGTTAGCCACCTCTTGTCGTCAATTGTTTATTGTAAACAGCAGCTGTGCAGTGAATGCGGCACTAACAAGCTTTCGTATTTTCGTAGAACGACCTGCCCGTAATGATCTTAGAGTATATACTCACTTTTCTCATTTACAGTATATCTGCTATGTAACGCTCAAACAAGCTGCTCTTCGACTGTTTGCCATTGTCGATAATCGCCTTAGCGTTAAAAAAGAAATCCACCGTTACGACTCAGTGTCTACGACAGTTGTTCGTTTGCAGCTCATTGTTTAACCTAACATAATACGGCATTACATTAAAGGTATTTTTGAAAGGCAGTAAAAGGCACGCCAGTTTTTGCAGATTAAACGTTTACAAGTCCTGACGATTCGAAGAACTCTCTATGCTCTAAAATTTCAATGGCGTTCGCGTTTCTATTATTCCTTCTATCCATAGCAAAATCATCTGCCCAATCACTGATTGGGACAAACTGGATCGCCCATCTTGAAGTGGTTAAGCAGCGCCTGATAGCGTCACCCAGCATTAACGTCATCATCGATTTTGCTATCATCATACACAGGCCGCTGGTCCGTGAAAATACTCGCGCACACAAATGGCACCGCTGTGGCAGCAGCAGAAGTACTCAACCGATCTCGGGACGAATACGAGAGAAAAAGCCGAGAACATATTGGAGGGTGGAGGAAAGCGGCGCTATTTTTCAAAATGTTATCTAAACGAGTTGATTATCGATTAACACTATTGAGAGTGCAACGAATTGACGTTATCAAGGAACTTTATCGAACTAACTAAACTCACAGCGAAGAGCATGAAGGAATATTTCTAGACGTTCAGATTAAGCTAGAATATCTTTTCATTTTCCCTTTTCCATCAATCCATAAAGGTTTCTATAAATCATCTCTGTTGTTAGTACTCTTATTTATATTATTACTATTATTAATTATTTCGTTACTCGAGCTCAGTTAAAAAAAATTATAGTAAAGATATTGTGTTCTTAACTAACACACACCGTTAGACAATATTGTTTGTTGATTAAAATTGATTGTTGATATTTCTACTTCGAGTTTCGTTCTTGGAATAACCCGTGGTAGATTAGTGGGTAACGTTATTTTTAGGATACGTTGGGGCGTAGGTTCGAACCCGGGCATAGACAGACAGACTTCGTTTCCTGCTGGCTGAAAACCAACCGTCCACCTGATAGACTACCCAACGGCGGAAACAGACGTAAAAAAGCAGACATAGAAAGAATAAGCTCGCCTTTTCAGCGTGTTATTATAATGTTATTATCCGTAGCACCCTCTATTAATTTAGCCAAAAGTTTAAGCACTGAAAGACGATGAGCGTAATATGTGTATATCGTTGGGAGTTAGTTGAGTTGCTCAAGTTTGTGTGAGCGTAAAGGTGTATAACATCTGAAGAGCGCCCACATCTTCCACGACTGCCAGGGAGCCGTAAGAAAGTAGAATGAACACTAGAAGCAAAAATTTGTCTTGAAACCTGTTTCGACTTGACTCCGAGGACTAAGCTGTGCGCGGAGCGAGTGTCAAGGCAAACAAATAGGAAAGATAAAACGACATTACGTAAAACGGTCTGCAGTAGAAGTAGATGCTTGAGCAAAGACTTGCTGCTCAACATGCCTTGGTAATTTCCTGATATGTCCTAATTCAGCAAATTTGTAAATTATTTTTAATATTTATATTCGCGTATACAATTTAAAATTATGAGGAATTGTATTAAAAAAATTATCAAATTTTCTCCATTTCGATACGAAGACTCAATGACAATTCAAGGAAACCTACACATTGTTATAGGACAAAATCAAGCTTTATTTGGTAACCATGAATAAGCAAATCTGCAGGCCGATAGGTAATATTACATAACGACGTACCCTTCCAGGGTATCTACCAGGCCGAGAATTATTGTCCGGTGATCCTTCTTCCTTTACACGCGATACCGTCTAAATATAGTACACCTTCATCTGTTCTCTGCTTATCCATCTATCGCATGTCGTGTCCTATGGCCTATCGGAGAGACTCTTAGGAATCTAACTGCTTATGCACGGGGGTCAACTCTTGGGGTTCCTTGTGTTCGTGAGGTGTCTTCGCGATCTTCAATTCTCGATGTTCGATGTTCAGGACTCGCGGTTGAGTCACGTGTCAACTGACCCCACTTCCATTTTGCCACTGGCATCATTTGCCGGAGGCTCTCCTTCTTTGATTCCGTCGCTTCGTTCACACGTGTAGCCGCGACTCGATCCATCTTCGAGCATCTTCTCGTTCGCAGCGTTAGGTGCCCACGCGTGCACCTTGGATTTCCTGCGAAGTCTGCGAACTGCTGAAGAAGTTTGCTTCAACTCTACCTGGCCAAGTCGGGCCGTTAGCCGATTCATCCTGGCTTCGATCCCGTATATGTTTATAGGTGTGTCTACCTACGCGGCTTTCGTTCTATAGCGAAAGTGCATACGGTGCACAAAGTAAGTGCTCTAACACTGGTTTTGCACTGCAAATGACGAACAAACTCTCTGAATTGATGCTTGTATGCTGGAGCCCATCTCGATTTATCCAGTGTGATTTGGGGGTGGCACCACACGCATCAATGCAGCCGCTCTGTGGTATGTTCCCTAAGTGGGAAAGAGAGAAGAGGCACATCTCCGAAGCAGAATGCGAACGCGTTTCTTCAGACGGGTGAGGAGCGATGCTCTGCAGCGTCGTAAGTCACGAGGTCGGGAACCTCTGAGTCGAAACCAAAAATCGGCAGAGATCGAGTAGGCAGACAGACAAGGTTATCGCTCTGTTGGAACCGAGTAAAAACACGTGCATGAATGCTCCATGAGCCTCTCGGATAGACTGAGCTCCTCAGTCTAGATTACTGGGCGGTTCTGCCGGGAGCAGTCCGACGGGTTGCGCATTGCCATTGGTGATAACTTCCGCCAATGCTGCTTGACTAATGGTGCGCCAGTGATCTCGTTTCAATAATGATGGCTACTCAATGACCAACGCAAAGGCTGTCGACCGGATGTGCGAACATCACAAGCTTCTTTTTAAATAACTATGAAGGCAGCGGACGTGATAATAGTACAAGATGGGCCGACTATATGTATTTGTAGTTCAAAAGCAAGTTCTACCTAGCAGTTATACAATGAAATACGTTAATCTCTATGACTCTCGATCCACGAGGAAATAGGTATTTGTTTATCAACGTAAATAACAGTTGGTTTCCCAATTTATCGTTTTTCTAACCGCTAGTTATTATCTAATCGGTTACAAATTTTTTATCAATATTCGGAGTGGATCGTCTGTATCTGCCCTCTGCTGAGAACATATCGGAGCTGTCGCATCTCGGCGTATATCTGTGCGTTCCTTATCCTACTATCTCTTTGATTGAATAGGTCATGTAGCAGGATGCGTATGGAATCTTCTTTTGGGAGATGCGATGATTGGTATTATATGCATATATGGCGCTGTAGAGGATATAGAGCAGAAGAAAATGGGAACCTTTTGCGAGCTTGTAGCTAGGCAAAGACGTTACGTGATTCCGCAGCAAGAGATTGCTATAACCAAATGCAGGAACTCATTACACAACGTGTGACGAAGGTCGTGCTATCGAAGGAGGATGATAAATGATCGCTTCTAATTTGGTATTAGCAGCTAGATTGGGCATTCACATGCGGACTCCAAACTGATCAACGAGAATTGTCGGCGAGCGATTAAAATTGAGAGACAATCAATACAAAAATGAACGTTGTCTATAGTTGCCTAGTGGCTTTGAATCTTATGATTATAGCGTACGTATGAATCGTCAAGTTAGACAAAATTGAATTCAGGATGTTGTCACTTGATTTCAAAAAGCAAAGTCTATTGTGAACTTGAGAAACTATTAGTTTGAGCCTCTTTATGCCATACGTTTGTTACTTCACTCGATGAAAGTAAAAACCAAAAATTTCTTCCTTATAAACAGATTCAACTAATGGTAGGAACTATTTCATGGCCGCTGCAACCTCTTCCTAAATACGATAATTTCATGTTCATTGTCCCGAATATATTTACACAATTACAACTGTAGCTGCTGATTTAAACCTTACAAACGATATACTACTACATGACAGCTGCAAGTAAATAAAGAAACATAAACAGTTATTACAAGAAAGGAAGCACAACTCAGTGTCAAAATTTTCTTAGAAAATCTGAGGCAATTTTTGATATGAGGTCTTCCTGAAGAACTGAAGATTGCCCATAGTAATCCTCGCCTTGCGTATTTCTTTTTAAAATCGGAAATGACACTAGCAACGTTCTACTTGTACGCCTCGATACATGTACCTTCTTTTGTTTTGTAAAAAAGTTCACATTATAGTCTGTATGCATTCACCTATAAGAAGGTAAAGCTGAAGTCGGGCAAACTGTCTATCCAACCAAGGTACCTAACAGCCTGATGGGTCATAAATACGCTGGGCGTCGCTGACTTCGTTCTTTCGACATCTCATGGTATTGAGTAACGGGGTTTACTGTCGATTCTGGATAAACAACAAATCAGGTACAGTATTTCTGGCTCGAAATTTTTAGCACTAGGTGACTAGAATGTCATATAAAAAAGGCAAACTTTTTGGCTCGGTTATGACGAGTTTCTCGTTTCGTCATGGAAGGAACAGGTGTTCTAGAATATCTACGATTTGATGGCCGCCGTGCTATTTTAAATTAAACTAATATTATTATTATTATAATCCAAAATACTTTCGGTTCAGCTGCCGCGTTCTGACAATGAGCAACGCTATTTCCTGCTTTATGACTGTCTACAGTTTCTGTCATGCGTATGCTAAACTGTCTGTTCTACTCCTGGAGCTATCTGTCTTGTCCCACAAATGTCCGTTTGGTAACAAAAGAACAGCTTGATAAATAGCGTTCGACCTCACAAGTCAGAAGAGGCGAATGATCAACCAGGACTTATCTTCGGCACAGGCATTTCTTCACAGTCAACGAGAGCTTGGCCTGTCCGCCGAACTCTATGCTGTTCAACGTCATTTTCACAGAGTGTCAAAACCGCTGCCAATTCCGTCACTGTCGTGCTCGCCGTTATAAATACTGAAGCGTTCAACGACAGACACAGCGAGAGAAAGACGCCTGCTTAAGCCGACTGACCTAGCAAATACGCCGCAAGGCAAGTGTAATCTCTGCCACCCGCGCAGCGTCTCTATCAATTTATGTGAGGTGCTGCCACTACTTCAAACCGACCCATTTCCAACTAAGGAACCAGATAAACGCTTCACAGCCGATCTCATATGTATACGGAAACTATTAAATATTGCGTATGGATCGTGAAGATTCGGCCGATCATATGCTAATCACTTTAGGTATGGCAAACCGTGTATGTTACTTTTTGGATTCCTTAACAGACTGAGGTTGCGATTCACAATAGATGCTATATACATATTTATGC